CAGTGGATTTGACACTCACTATAAGGGTGTGGCTTTGGGTCTTGAAGATGAAGACCTCTATATTTTGACCATGAATGGTATTTCTCATTCAACTACAAAGAGTTGTTTTTGTTGATTTCGTTGCAGATTTGTACGTGAAGTTGTATGTCATTAATGTGGCGACGCAGAAGAGGGTGATTAAGAAAAAGACAAGGGTGTGCAGGCATGATCGCGAGCCATCTTTCAATGAGACATTCCGGTTCAACATGAATCCAGCGGGCCATTCTCTACAGGTACAACCGAGGGCAAAAGAACAGTGTTTCCATAGCAGGCACAGCAATAGTCTGCCCAGAATAAACAGTTACACACAGCTGTACACAGTAGACAACGTCCTCTTTATTTAGGAAACACTGTAAAAATTACATATATATTGAGTGGCACGGCAGTCAAGCTTGATAGCATTGCTGCCTCACAGTGCTGGGGCCCTGGTTTCAATTCCAGACTTGGGGTGATATCTGCTTGGGGTTTGTATGTTCTCCCTGTGCTCGCATGGGTTTTTTCTGGGTGCTCCAGTTTCCTCCCACGGTCGAAAAATGTACTGGTAGGTTAATTGGCTTCTGGTAAAATGGGTCCTACAGTAGGTGTGAGAAGAGATTTACATAATATCATGCATGATTTACAGCACTTTTTTCATTTTACCTTCTTTCCTTATGCAGCTCTTTTTGGTGTCAAATGGAGGGAAGTTTATGAAGAAGACATTAATTGGAGAGGCCTACGTCTGGCTTGACAAGGTGGACCTGAGAAAACGATCTGTAAACTGGCACAAACTACTAGTCAGCTCCACTCAGAGCCATTCATAAATAAAACAGCTCTTTGTTTCAGGTTTGTGAGAGGATGTCAAGGGTTTGGGGTTTCGTGAGATTACTGGTATCGTACATAAGATGAACAGATCCTAGTTTCCCATGGGGGACTGGAACTAATTCAGGGATGATTTTTTTAGAATATGGCTGCTATTGCGATTTAAGGTTTGCGGAGATTATTGGATAAGGAATAGAAGATGGAGCCAAGCAACATGCAAAAAAAAAAGAAATGGGAAAGAACCTATGAGCACTTACAGGAAGGTGTAAATCCAGTGGAGTGAAAGACGAAGCAAATTGGCTTTCAGTGTCAAACAACAGTAAGTTAAATATGCAGTACAGACCTGGGCAAGCACCAAGGCGTCAGCTTTTGCATCTTGTGCTTATCAGGAGTGTTAGAATATCCCCTGGACCCAAGAGATGTCAACAGCACATTGCCACAAAGGTATATGAAGGGAACATTTTTTTTCTCCTCCACTCTCATCATTCACCCATTACGGTACATTGCAGTGCTTGCAATGTTTTTTGTTTTTATTCGTTTGAAAGAACAGTTCTAGAACAAGTGAAAATGGTTGCCTCTAATACTTTTGAAACTATGTCATAAAAATACAAAGCCCAAAACATTTCTTATTGCAGTAGTTTGGTCAAGCCCTACGTTAGTAATAAGAGTCGTGAATTTCACCTGGGTAACTAACCTGCCTGAGGACAATGAAAACCCGTCCTTAAGAATGGAAGGTGAAGATGAGAAGGAGAGAGGATTGTGAAAATGAGACAGACCAGTGAGTAAGCAAGAGGCATGATATTTATACATAGGCTGGCAGAAGAGGGTGAGATTGGGGTTTGACCTCCTTCTGAACATTTAAAACTCCATTATGGGTTGCCAGCAAAACATGGAAATGCAGCCATCATTATTCAAGCCCTTTGTCTTGAATAAGGAAATAGTACAAAATGCATGTATTAAATTAAAGAACTAAACACTTTTCCCTCGAGCCTTGCTGTCTCCAATATACTGTATATTTCCAAAATCCTGTTTTTCATATCAGTTACTAAACATACTAAATATGTAATTAGTCAGTGTAATAATGTATATAGAAATTCTAATAATAAAGGTAGTAATAAGTGGCCAGAAATTGGAAAGATATTGGACAGCACTACTACTGTATATGCACAAATAATCATAAATTTAACTATAAATGATATTAATATGCTTTACACTGTTCACCATTTATTTCTTTGTTGCTTTTGAAAAATGTTGTTCTGGACATGCATTTAATTAAAATATTGTCTTTTGAATCATGAAATGGTTTGTTATGGAACTGAACGTTTTATTCAACAGTGACCACCATTGTTGTAGATACAGTAGATCTGCAAAGGTTTGGCTGTTAAGGCTTTTTGTCTGAACAGAGCACAGACCTCTGTTGCTTACGGATTTGTAATGATTGCTCTTTATGACAGTGAGCATTCATGTTAGGTGACACTGGTATTTCCATGGAGGATTAAACATGGAGAAGTGAAATACAATATTATGTATGAATCAGGATTCTTAAGATATATTGTGCTGACATTCCTGACTGACTCATTGGTAATGGCCATACCTGCAGACTTTTTAAATAAAAAAACATACATTTGCTTTTAGTTCATTGCTTTATTTATTTTTGTTTGATTTCTTTATGTGGTGCTACAATGAACTGCTTGTTAGAGTCACTTTGTCATGTCCAAATACTGTAGAATCCATAGAAGCTCCACTGAAAATAAAAATGCTATGATCTTTCCCTTAAGTATAAAAATAAACAGAATAGCATGTATATATTTAATTTTGTTCAGTCTTACACATGCTTCAGTCTTACGCATGCAGTTTTTGTTTCTCACATTTGCTTAGAGGTACAAGAATCACTTGGGCTCCAGTAAGCAAAACTTGCCTCCAGTTAATGGTACTGTAACTTCAGGCAGGCTCTTCACTCCAAAGAAACCAGGAATCTTGCCTGTCAGTATTTTGAATCCTTGGACTAAAATTTCAGTGTCCTGACACTATTATTCTGTAGATAAACTGGAAATGATTCATTTTGTGTCAAAGTACCATAATTTGTGGTTGTTGCCCGGCCTTCTTTGTGTAAAATAACATTCCAGATAACTGTTGTAAAATGTTGTCACAGGTACTTCTGGTGTCTTTTTTTTTTCTAAAATGCGGAAGTTTACAATGTTAGAGTTCTGAAGTCCTGGGTCCAACTGTGTTACATTATGGTGCCAGTCGTCCTTCACAGTACTAGATGTTATTTCTCTACAGCTGGTTATTATGTATTTGCATTATGTTCCTTTCCACTGGTCTCATTAGCTCCTGTGTTTTCCAATCAATTACCTTTTCTTGGAGCAGCTAGGTTTCGTGTCATTCACCGTCATTATTCACACCAGCGCTCCTAATGCAGTTGTTTTTTCCTCATTTTTTTTTTAAATGAGTGCCTAATTTTTTTTAATAGTATGCTTTCAGCTCATTAAAAACTGACCAACACTATTTGGTGTTAGATTTATACAGTGCTCGAATATCCCCATCTTCCTTTCCTTTACACTTGATTGGATGATTGTGATCATGTACTGTATAACTGTACAAAAGGAAAGTGAGAAAAGCAGACCAAATAGTCTCCGGACTTTCCATGTGGTACTGAGTACTATGAGGTATGAGTGAATAAACTGTTGAATACACATACAATACAGATGTCAGTTATGCTCTTGCAGTGTTAAAAGCTACAGGGTTGGTTAAAGAGTCAAATGTGCTTATAACACGTGCCAACCTAATTTTTATAACCAAATCCATAGATTCTGTTGAAGTAATTCTATGCAACATAGACTTTGTGCTTTGAATGCATTTTCTTAATGTATGGAGATATAAAGAAATGTTTTGTCTAAAAAAATGAATCTTATAAAGAGAATATTTGCTTTCTGTCTGTATATTATTCTGTATCTTTATTTCTTATCTTCTACCTGTTTTGGGTCTTAAATGGTACAAATTGAGTTTGTGCACTTTATGTTTAAATCCTTTTTTCCTGATTGCTGTATGCAATGTTTGTAAAAAATTTTTTTTGCGTTCTGTTTTTATTGAATGAAGGCAAAATAAATATTCACTAAAGGGGCATTTTGGTCAGCAGCACAAATCAACATTTTTGTTTACAAAAAGTTTTAACAAAATATGCATACAAAATTGCTGCATTTTTTTTCTGTGATAAAGTGGATCTACATTTCCCATAGTAAGTGGCTTAATGCTGTATAGAACATAAATTTATGGAGACAGAATCCCTTTTCACAAAATCTTTGAATCAGTTCTTAAGATGCTCCTTTCTTCAGTATTGTGTTCTTAACATTCCAAATTGTTCAATCATATATTTTTCATTATGTAAAACACTAACAACAAACAACTAATGTTTAACATGCACATACAGTACATAGAATCAAGGTTTACTATTCATTTTTTTAATCTGAACTTCAGAGTGTTTGGATGCTGTCTCCTAAATTTTCCTATTGCTCCATTTTCTGTTTCCATTACTGATCTCTTGTTTGCTGGTGATCTGGAAACCAAGAAGTCTTACAATTATCTTGAAGTGAATTGTGAGAATGTGGTTTCTTTATTTGTAACCTTGTAAATATATAGCATTTTTTTCTACAAGAAGAGATTTAAATAATAATTTATTTGGTCTGGCATTGAGCATGTGAATGTGGAAAAAAAAATTCTCTTTGACTGTATCTGTATAAATGTCCAGTGGCGTGCTCAGGTGATCATATACAGTAAATGGCTCAATAGAGTGTGTGCTATCAACCCATCAGAATCTATACAGCCGACCTAAAGTTTGACTTCTTGAAAATTCACAAAATCAAAAAATCAACTTGAGTAGATCCAGGAGAATTTAAATGTTTTCACATTGGATGTTGCATGTTTAGTTGGTGGTTTGTTAATATGATTTTTGCTTCCAGATTCTATTAAAAGAGAAAATTGTATAAATTTATTTAAAGCAGTATGCTGATTGTACAAAGATATGCTTGTAAAATCTGTCTGGGTTTTCACTCTATGTAAAAATAAAAAAAAATAATGTCATGGTTTTGTGGTTGTACACAGGATGTATCGAGATATTATGCAAATTGTGCTGTACAAAAGGCTGTTTCCCTGAGTCTAAATAATAAATATTGAAAACAAAATCACATCTACAGTCATGTGACTTGAACTTCTATTTCTTTGTCTGAGAGATTTATGTTCTTTAAACATACAACATTTATGCACTATTGCTACACTGGTATTACTTACCAATAACATAAAAATAATGTTTTCTGTACACAAAATAATTTGTGATAATAAACCAAAATTCCACCAATGCACACTGTTATTAGATAATTATGTATTATTATACTAGAGGAGTCTTGCTCTTAGACCACAAACATCAGAAAGAAGTCCCAAGGAAGACAAGATGGAAAGGTGTACTCTCTGGACTGAAAATACAGAAAAAAGTACCACGGTTCAGTATTTTGGCAGCTGTGAGTTAGTGAGATGGCTTTGTGAGAAATCCACAAGATGGCCTCCTGTTAAGTGGGATAAGCTGCAGCTAATGGATTGAGATTTCACGTGAGGGAAAGGAGCAGTCAGGATAGGCTCTGACTAGAGTTAGCCACTCCTCTGGCCCAATGAAGGGGCTTGTTTTACCAATTAGGAAGAGAGGGATTCATGTCTGTGTCTGAGCACCAGCCTGGAAGGAGCTCCAGAGAAGAGGTCTTACTAATGATGGATTCATCTGGTTTTCATCATGTCTTCTTATAGCACAGAATGTGGACTCCAGAGAGGACAGGCTGAGCCCTGAGTGTCCCTGTGCCTTATAGAACTTAAAGAAATGGGTGCTCTTGGGGACTGGGAACAGAGTAAAGAAATGACAAACCCAACCCTGTTCAAAACAACCCATGAGGCCTCTGAATGGCAGGACTGAAGAACCAGCGCTAGAGGTCGCTTTGCTCAATTGCATGTGGCCCTGTAACTGAGGCAGACCAAGAAAATCACCCTTCCACTAGTCCCCTCGCAACCTCCCCTGTTCTGAGATATATACACTTCCTTCAGTCGGGCAGTGGAGGACACCCTTTTTCCAGACATGAACCCAGAACCTTAACCACTGCTGCCCCTGCCAAGAAGCAATTAATCCTCCACACTGGCCTCATCAGGGAGGGGTCCGTTGCTGCTTTGCTACGGTGTTCGAACAGCCAGATCAGTAAAATGCAGCTCTGATCAAATATTTCTGTGGATTTACCTTGCTGTACATCTCTTATCTCTTTTGGGTACCATCAAGTACTATTAAATCCATTGTACAAGATAAAGAATGATTATGCTAACAATTCACATGATCCTTCCATCCGTATGCTTCTATCCTGATCATCACATTTGTAGGACTGCAGAATTCATTATTGGCATCATGGCATGTGAAAACTCTTACTTTTAATGCATATAATGGGAACATTTTCCAAGGAGCAAAATGTTCAGACACCAAGTGTAACAAACAGTTCTTTCCGGACAACAGGAACAGGAACAGGAACAGGAACAGGAACACGGGTTAAAACCTTAACAGGACCAGGCGCTTCCAGGTCCCGGACTCGCACGGTGCAGAAACCAGATGCAGAGCCAGGATGAGCGTCAGCGCCTGGCTTTTAAGGTGGGCTGGGAAAAGGGATCAGGTGCACAGAATTAAGTCTAAAGTGAAAGGGCTGGAGCACCCTTAAGGAGGGGGGACTATAATCTAACACTAAGGCTGTGTTGTAGGTTCTGCTGTGAAATTCAGCTGATGGAAAGATGGTAGCCTACAAGTGGATATCAGTGAATGTATCATTAGATGACTGATCTGGCCAATTACATTGATGCTGAAATCAAATGTGCACAACAGAAGATAAAAGATGATTTATTTAATATCTTTTTTATCCCTGGGATTTCAACATATCTTCTTATCCTATAGTTACAAATTTGTATACAGTAAGTTGAAATCTCCTCAATGACTTTTCTATATATACTGTGGAGGGGTTCAATTCAATTCAATGCACACCATCATAATTGGAATATATAGGCAGTAATTATGTCAGTATTTATTTACATTGTTTTTGCTTGGCTAGTTTGAATTGATATTCAAATAACTAAAGTAATCACTGTTTACAGTATCTCCCTCTGAAACTATGTGTATTTTGACACCAAATGAAATGGTGACTACAATATGATGTCTGTGCTTAATTTATGTTATAGTGTTGCTACTAATATGTCTGAGGATATTCAGGTTTACAATGACACCACCTACAGTATTTCGTTTTAAACAACATTCATTAAGCCTGCACAGTTCTGTTTTGCCACAAGATGGTAGTAAAGCTTCATTAATAGTGTAACTTTTACTTCTGTTCTTTTTACATTTGTAGAATATTTTGAGAGTTATCAGTTCTTTTCTTATTATCAGCTTACCAGGTTATCAATTATCAGCATTCTTCTTTCTAAATTAATTTCCTAAATTAAATTAATATATCAGTAAAATTATTTTATAAGTCTGAGAAAACCACTTGAGTATCAGGATATACTGTAAGAAAAAAAAATGCATGATATTTCAAATAATTTCAGATATATTATTTTATCCTACACTTTCAATTATGTTGATACAGAAATTTGGAACTCTTAATGTTGTCAAGGGTGCTGTGAGACATTTTCTTTGTCCACATAAAAAATATATTATTTTAAATATGTTCTTATAAAGTAATTTTGCATTTATCAACAGCACTAATTAGATTATTTATTAAAAGAAATGGATTCACCCTTACTTAGTACGATTCAATTGGTTATCAGTACTTTCACTGATGGGCAGCTCTTCAAGGTGTAGGCTGTATGGTCGTAGGCCCTATACTGTACCAAATTTGCCTTTGGAATTAATTGATTGTATGTTAAAACTTACTTATTTACTGTATATGCATGCAGTGACTATGGGGTGTACTGTACATGTACTGTATGGCTTGTCTTATACAGGATGTATACAGGATTAAATAGAGCATTGCCCCAGAATAGGATGACCATTCGTCCTGTTTGAAACCCCAGTCAGAAAGCCATGAGGACGAAAATTCCCCCACACCTCCTCACACCCCACACCTGCAAGGTCTGTTTCCCCCAGAAAGTAACAAACCACAGGTTTCTTCCGTTCAGCACAGAAAATTATGGACACCCTAACCAAAAGCCATATGTCTGTGTCTCTTTGCCATGCAGTAATCCCAGTGCTCTACTCTGGGTATATCTGAGGGAGAAAAACCACACACCCTTATCCTGCAGCACGAAGAAACTGATCTACCGCACCTCAGGCATCTCACAGCCTTATTACTAGAACTAGACTGTACAGCCCACTCAAGCCTGCTATGCCAAAAGCACTGAGGGTGACTTTACCGTTGCTGTCTCAAATTATAGAGTGAGACCTGTTCCACTTTGTCTCCCTTGAAGCAGCCCTTCAAAGATATACAATAACCTCACTGACAGATATTGATTGGTTTCATGTAATTCGAGTCACAAAGCCACTGTAGCTTATGTGAGCTCTCATGAACAGTGCCTCCCAGTGCCTACACTGCACTACTCACCCAGGCTACAGATGAGCCTATTCACTGAAACCCCAATTTGATCGCTGGTGAGAATCACAGGCTTTGTCTTATACACAGCACTGTTAGACCAGCAAGCACCTGGATTTGTCAAAGTTGAATACTGTACATTTATTAGAAACTGAGTTCTACAGTATATTCCTGTTCTTTGTATGTTTTATGAGAGCCATTTCACAGTTTTCTTTGTCATTTATGCAGTGGCCACGACCCACATGTGCCTTTTGAGATCATACATCCAGTTCTGAAACTGACAGAATAAAATGTCCCCAGCTTTTAGTGCTCTGTACCCCACCATATCCTGAACTACTGGTCATGCAGCTACCTCCCACAGTGAGTCCATCCAGCATCAGCAAGACAAGGCTATCCCGACTTAAATTACCCCCTATTTTTACCTCTACTACTATCAATGCTATTGTTCCTGTAGCATTAATACACAACACAACAGAGAGATTCAATTCTCCAGGGCCTTCACTCACCCAGATTTAAAGAAGCCTTAAGATGATTCGACAATACATTTTTTGTGCTAGGCAGGGAGATGAGAGCTAGGCAGGTTAACCTTAAATGACAGCAAGCACTTGTGAACTTTATCCAACCTAATGAAAAAAAATCCATGGAAAATCTAGCACAGTTTTGCTGGCCTTTAGCAAATATGTTTCTGCCACTTTCCTGTTTATGTATTTTTATCTCCTTGAGGACACTCCTGGTATTTTATCTTTTAAATTAGTGCTAATTTGTTTGAGGAGAAAAATAAAATAATAACTGCAAAACAGTGAGCTAAAAGAAAGGATCTTACTCCCTGTCAGATGCCCTGAGGTATCACCCTCTATAGAATGTTAGGGATTTTTGCCCTGTTACTTGTGTTTGCAACAGAAATTGCAAACACAAATGGGAAGGCCATTTGACTTTCAGTAGTTGTTTCACCCTTTATCTATGGAGAAATATACCACAATATACTATTGCTGAGACACATTTACCAAAAAGAAAAACTCATTAAAGTTTACTACCTTGTAGGAGCACCACAAGCCTCCTAGTGTTTTGTTAAGAACCAAGAGAGACTTTAGGGAGATGAAAGACTAAAGAACCATGAATAACAAAATGTGACAGCACATCTTCGCAATTTTTTCCCTCCAGCCAGCTAAACTCAGCCAGCAGTGTTAGTGCATCTTGAATTAGCTTTCATAGAAAATTTCTTTTGATATTTAATGACCAATGCTCTATTTCTTTGGAAAACTTATTGTAACTTTTTACCCTGCAGCACCCAAGAATTGTTTTCAGAATAACATCATATACACATAAAAGGAACTTTTTGTTTTAATAATGTATGATATAAATACACTAATATTGCAATCAAATTAAATACAGTAGGGTCTCAACATTTGTGAGGGTGCAGTGTAGAGACCCATTGCGAATAATCAAATTTACATATGACCAAGTCCACCCCTATACTGCTGCACCCTATATGTACTGCTGTCCTGGGTGCAGTATGTATGGTTAAATAACATAAGTAACCATACATTATATTATAATTAAAATACTAATACATTGGCTTTAACTAA